CCCCCCCTAGAAAAATATCATGATGTATATCAAATTATTGGTTTTAATTGGGTTTGATTTGCATTTTCCACTCATTTCTGGGATTTACAAACTCAATCTAATGAAGGCTTCATTACATACCTTTCAGCTTTCACCTTGTTTTATATCCTTCATTATCCTTCATTATTATTTTATATATATATATATTCATTTTACATTAACTACAAAGATCTGTAAAAAACTGAATTTATTTTATTTTAACCAAACTTTTTTATATTAAGTTTGCTGGCAAATATTGACAAAAAAGGCAGTAATATAAAAAATAATAGTTTTACTCTAAGAGGAAAAAAGATGGTTATTTTTTAAATCTTTAGAAAAGCTACTCTGCAAAACTTTGAAAAATTATGGTCATTACTCATTGTTAAATTTTCTTGTAGTCAATGTAGTGTGTTAAGATCTTAACGAAATCTAATGTGGAAATGACATTAATTAAAAGTAAAAATGTTTTTTTATTGTCCATACCATTTTTTTCTATTAAAAAAACATCGAATTTCAATGACATTGACTTTTACTTTAGAATTTAGAATCATTTAGAATATGTTGACTTAAAATTTGAAATATCTGATTCCGACGTATCTGCACAGTGCACATTTTAATTGTTTTCTTGCAAATTTAAAAGATATTCAATTTTAAAATCAACATTTTTTTAAAAACAAAAACAAAGTAACAACTCTTTCCTTCATTAAAAAGTCGGCGCGGCTTGGCACTTAAAAACTTGTTAAGAATGTCTTCATGTTTGATTGATTTTAATCTACTAGGATGGGAGTTCATGAGTGCAAGGCTAGATAGCCTTTCCGTTTTCATGGTGTTCCGCAACCTAATTATCAATATACATAAGTTCCGTTTCTATTTTTTGTTTAAATTTTAAACAGATTTCAAAGCTTATAACTGTTTAGGCATCTGCAAAATTCCGCAAAAACTTTTACTATCATGAAAATAGAAGTCTTTACACTTGAGTGCAGACTAATCAATAGGTAATGTATTTTTTTTTTGAAGTGAAGGAGTCAAGGCAACTGTAACTTGTAGAGGCAGCAAGTGGAGTAACCCCTGCTATTCAGGGCCTAAATATATGTTCAGGGGTAATTAACCCTAGGATTCTAGGGGGGGGGGGTAAATAACCCCAATAACCCCCCTTATTTCTGTCACTGCATCGTTGGTTGTTTATGGTGGTTTCATTATTAAAAATTTCATCACAGACATTACAAATTTCTAAAGGAAGCCTCGGGGGTTTTCTGAAGCTTTTGGTTCCCTTTCCAATGTAAGTGTTTTCAAAATAATTCTTGCAGTACTGGAAAAAAAATCTCCATTCAAGAGAATATTTTTCCGCCTTTTCCGAAAACAAAACAGCCAGGATCCTTCATGACAATTATTGAAAGACTGGATATGTGTAAAATTTTTGTTTACATCAACCACTGTACTCTGTACATGTGTTTAATGTATACAGTACATATCCAATTTAAATTGTCAAATTACTGAACATGATTCTATTCATTATCCTCCAAAACACTGAAACACGAAAATGAATCCTTCCAATATCCTTCAAACCACTCGAATTCTATTATAAGTTACTATTGTCAACGTTGATTAACAATTTTTTTTAAGTTAACAAAAAATTATCTAAAAAATGTTTAGTTTATTTCGATGTTGTTTATCCTAAATTTATAGATTAGATTAAGGAAAGATTTCAAAACATTAAATTAATTTAACCGCCATTCTAATTTTGTAACTATTAAAAAAAGGATATTTTAAGTTACGGGTCTTTTTACAGATCTACACATAGCGGAAACATTTTAAGACATTGACAAACATTTACTGAAGTCTTAAATACGACGATATCTTCCTAGTTATTATTCTGATAAAGGTTACCATATGAATCGGACATTAAACACTACAGAGTAACTTGAAATGAACATGAACATGTTTTCCACCTGCTGATACTAATCCCAACATCTCGTAGTAGATTGAGTAGGTTCAAGGGGAGCCAGGAGATACTAAACACTAGGATAACCAGGATCAGGACCTAAATACAGAGATACAGATATATAGAGAGATAAATATACAGAGATTCAAATATACAGAGATAAAAATATACATAAATAAAGGGTACAAAGATATAGAGATATAGGGTTATATAGATACAGAGATTCTGGGATACAAAAGTACAGATTTACAGATAGAGTTACATAGATAAATATATACAAAGATAAAGAAATACAGATATACACAGATAAAGAGATACACAGATACAGAGATACAGAGATGCAACCTTTTGAGTTCGGTCCATATGAGGTTCTCCACTACGCTTTGGTTGTTGCTGTTGTTGTTGTTGTTGCCGTTCTTGTTGCTGCTGTTGCCTGCGTTGTCGCATCGGCATACTCGCCAGTTTTCTAAACCAAGAAAGGGAATACAGTGATAACCAAAAACAATAAAATTACAATTATTAAATCAATGATTTAGTTAAATGGGTTTGATTTCACTGCACAATTGATTGTTTTATGCTCATTGAACTCTTTAATATTAAAACTTAATTCAAAAAGTCGTCTTTTTGTTTCAGAGATTTTTGGTTATCCCTGCAATTGGAGTTTGTATAATTTACTGAATCTATTTTGAAACAAAGGAATTTACAAGAATAAAAAATTGCAACAATTTGTATGACTTGTCTACTTTTCCCCAATGCTTTGACTTTTAAAATTGCCTCACTTACTGTATATATAGTTTGCTTGTCTGTCTTTCTGTCTAGGTGGGTGGTTGTCTGTTTGTATCCAATAAACGTCAAAACGGCTGTACCGATCGGGCCCAAATTTTGTGAGGGACCTCATGTGTCCCCAGGGAAGGTTTATGAATGATCAAAATTTCAAAAATTTGTGTTTAAAATTTTTTTATTTTTGTAAAATTTTGAAAATGCGCAAAAAATATTATGAAATCCTTAAACTTTTTTTTACACTGTACAAAGAGAAGATGCTCATAGATAAAGCTACAATTAAAAGGTGAAATAGAAGATGGGCGGGAAGCGTTCTAAAAGCCTGGTTCACTTATACTTTTTTAATACTTTTTATATATTTTTAAAAGGAGTAATGAAAAAAATTGATGTCATTGATGATCAGACGCAGATTTAAAAGGATCCGTGGATGTGCATCAGGGATTAGACTCCACAAAAGGAGGGTCACTTGAAATAAAGTGTACAGTCCCTTAAAGTACAGGGTTACCCACAAAAGATGAGACTTCAGAGACGACAGAACTGAATTGATTCTACGTTTATTTCCTTATATTTATGATTTTCTGCAAATGTAAGCTGGGTTCTATTGTTGCCATGCCATTAAATAAGCCAATAAAAGCCAATATTCAAGGCAGAAGACCGAATTTAAACTTGTAATCTTCATATTTTAAGAGTGTTGGGTCGTCTTTATACAGTCTCATCCTTTGTGGGTAACCCTGTATGTACAGTAACATTATAATTTAAAAACTTAAACGAATTTTAAGTTTTAAAAAAATGCATGCACTGAAATCCTTTCAAAAAATTTACAAAGAATTCGGGAGATAATTGAAAACAATTCTATTCTAATCGGATTAAAAAAACCGCATTATGAATGAAATAAACCTTTCCAAAACATAAATCTCATTCAATCTAACATCGCGAAACACATAAGTCGCGAAACATATGCATTGTCTTAATGTTATACATAAAATTGTTTTTGTCCACAAAAAGATAGGGTCCCTTTGGGTTTAAAAGTGATTAAGATGTTAACTTAAAGTACCTTATCTTTTGTTCTTACATCCAAACATTGTAAAAAAAAAGTTGTTCACTAATAGTATCTCAACCCTTGACTCAATCAAATACGATTTGTTATGTTTTTATTTCATTTTAATAAGTTTACCCAAATTTTGAAAATTTTTCGTACTTGTAAAGTTAGAATCAAGTATAGAGTGATAGGAAGACTACATTAAATAATTTAAAAGAATATTTGACGTTTTTCAAAGCAAATATTTTTCTAGTAGCTTTAAATCCCTAAGTTTGTTAAATGGGTCAGTGTACGCTGCACAATCATGCCGTGGCTTATGTTTTTTGGACTATTTAAAATCATAACTTGAGTTTAAAGGGAGTGGACGGCTATGAAAGGTAGTTTAACTGAGTATGCAGTGTTGTGGAAAACTTCTTTCGGATTCATTTGAGACATATTAAACTTTTTAAAGATCTGTAAATCCTGATTTAATAATTTAAAAAACTAATTCTGAAAGCGTATCCACCCCCAAAATATGAGTTTTGAACGTCGAATTTGCGCTCAAACTCAGGATTTACAGATCTTTAAAAAGTTTAATATGTCTCAAATGAATCCGAAAGAAGTTTTCCACAACGCTGTATACTCAGTTCAACTACCTTAAATAGCCGGTCACTCCCTTTAAAAATCGTCGTTTTCAAGTTGTCATAGTTGTACATGTATGTGCTTCCCCCGCCCCCTCCTATCTTCAGTGCCCTGTATCTAGGAATTGTAATAGTATCGGTTGATGGGTTTGGATAAATTGGTTTAAATGAACCAAAAGAATTAAGTACTCTACCCTACACAGTAAATCTTACAAAATAGACAAAAAAGATATTAGTACAGTACATTTATATACTCACTAATTGAAAGGGTACCATTGAGCAGAAAAATTGAGATGAAGGGGGCGTTTTAATCCCCCCCTCCCCCCCCCCTCCAAATCTCCCCTTACTCAGATTTGTTAAATATTCTTTAAATTCTAAAAATCATTTTTTTTCTTCTTTTTTCAGATAAATGCTTAAAGAACTTTGATGCAGTACAAATTTGAATGTATAGATTTGTATACAAATGATTAGAAAGGTATTTTTAAAAAGGTATTTCTTCCAACTAAAATTAATCGGTTAGAATGAATTAATTTTAAAAGGATTCAGAAATTTGGTTAAAAAAGATGATTAAAGTGCAATAATTCCGCTCATGGCTAGAAGTTTAGCCTGTCTCCTTGTCTTAAAAAAAACAGTATTTTTGATCTAAAGGTTGCTAGCTCTAACGCTAAAATCGACGGGAATTTTGCCTATTACTTTTGCGTTGCGACACTTTAAAGTTGATCCAGTTTATAAAATTTATCAAAACTTCCTATTAAGACACCCTTCTGCCTAGCAGAAGGAAAGCTGCTGCTCAATGAATTAAAGGTGTGAATCATGGATTAATAAAAATACAAATAGAACACTGAATGTCGTCTTTTTGTTAACAATAACCCTGAGGCAGAAGCCCAAAGCAGTCACGCGTATGCCTGGTTGAATTACAAGACAGAGAGCCTCTGCATCAGGGTTATTGTGAACGAAAACCCCCTAAATCTTGAAAAGACGACATCTAGTGTTCTATCTATATTGTTATTAATCTTTGGTGTGGATCCTAACACGGCTTATTGAGAATTCAGAAAAAATGGATTACATAAAAAGCTTTTCCTTTGTTACTAATAAGAACATATTTTTACCTATGTATAGCAGTATGGGCCAGAGTAATGATAGTAGCTGGTAGTAGTAGTTGAATACAGAGTACTGATATACTGTAGTATAGCCGACCCTAGAATATAGTAGTTGAATATAGAGTACTGATATACTGTAGTATAGCCGACCCTAGAATATAGTAGTTGAATACAGAGTACTGATATAAACTGTAGTATAGCCGACCCTAGAATATAGTAGTTGAATATAGAGTACTGATATACTGTAGTATAGCCGACCCTAGAATATAGTAGTTGAATATAGAATACTGATATATACTGTAGTATAGCCGACCCTAGAATATAGAAGTTGAATAAAGAGTACTGATATAAACTGTAGTATAGCCGACCCTAGAATATAGTAGTTGAATAAAGAGTACTGATATATACTGTAGTATAGCCGACCCTAGAATATAGTAGTTGAATATAGAGTACTGATATATACTATAGTTGTTGACTTTAAAAGTCACTATAATAAAACAAAGATATCTGAAATGGATATTTCTAACATTTATTTAAAAAAACGAAAGTTGTGAAATATTTGCATCAGACAGGGTTAAAATTGGTTGGTTTAGAAATTAACAAAGGAATTAATGATGAATATTTGTGGGCACTTCATGGGAGTGTTGTAGAGCTTCATGTTGTTGTTACTAGCTCAACTCTCCTAACCTGACTGAGGGGCTGGGATGTGTAGAGGGGTGGGGGGGGGACGAAGGAGCGAGGGTGACATGTGGGCGGACCGGCGGAAATAGATTCATATGTCTTGAAAATAATCAACGGCATCTGAGTCGGTAAAATCGTCTTCCTTATATTTAGAATTTGTGTTAACAATAGTATAGCCGAGCCTAGAAAATAGTAGTTAAATACAGAGTATTGCCATACTGTATATATAAACTATAGTAAAACTATAGTTTTCAAAACGATCGTTTTCAAAAAAAAATCGTTTTCAAAAATGGAAAAATGAAAGCTTTGAAAACAATCGTTTTCAACACGATCATTTCGTTTTTAGATTTTTTCTCATTGTTAACTAGACGAAATGATCGTTTTTAAAAAAAGTCAAAAATGCCCATCCCTAAATATAGTCTATAACCCTAGAATAGTAGCAATTGTATTCTATAGAGCACCAATGAGGAACCAATTTTAGTAAAAGATTATAAGTAATATTCTCAATTTTTAGGCATAATTTCAAACATAAAAAGTTAATGAATGAATTTATTTAAAACTTTTGTAAAAAGCAATATATTTTTTAAGACATTGATTCTGAGATTACCATAAAAAAATATCTTTTCTTATTTAAGGAAATAATTGAAACCTGAGATCGGGATATAATATATTGTACATTGTACATTTATAACTAGAATAAAAAAAAACTTTTTGTAAAATATCTTAAATATAACTCAATATTTCAATATATTAAATGAAAGTAGTGCAGTGAGTAATATCTAAGAAAAGAATATTTTATTTCAAAAGTTTAAATTTGATTTTCTTTTTCTTGTATAAAATCTTTCTTTATTTCACATGACAAGCAATCTAAAGGAAGAAACAAATCTTCAGGTTTTTAATGTCATAATAATGGAGGAATCAATTTGAAATGAATAGAATATCTCAATTTTTGAATGCAAGTTTATTGTTTCCATCATGATAAAATTTCATGAAAAGACTGCAGACATCCGGTGACTTTTCATGTGGCATTTCCGCTTCAGAACCTGCTGCAGATGAAGGGGGCGTTTTAATCCCCCCCTCCCCCNATGATAAAATTTCATGAAAAGACTGCAGACATCCGGTGACTTTTCATGTGGCATTTCCGCTTCAGAACCAGCTGCGCCCTTGGAATGCGGGTAAATGCGGAAACTGTAGTTTAAAATAGTGTTAATTTCACCAAGTGTCAATTCGCGAATATTCTTTTGTCCGAAAAAGTTTTTTAAAATTCGAATTAAAATATTTATCTTGTATAAATATCGTTTCATATAAACATAGTTTTTATAAAGTTATCAATAGCGAGAAGCAAAAAAAGAATTCTTCTTTCATCGTTGTTCCGTTAAAGGTTTAAGGGTATTGTTGTGATTCAGACATGCCACTCTACAAATGGAGCATCACATGAAATTTTGTCTACTGTCCATATATTAGATTATCATTTAGTCAAGTCAAAACTCCGTAAATAGAACATGAGAAAAATGTTAAACCCCTATTTTATTGAAACCGAGCTAAGCTTTAATTATAAACCCTAACGCATGATTTTCAGGGTCAATGTTCAAGTTCAATCTCTTCATTTCAGTTATTACCCCCCTTTCAAAAAGCTCCCTGTAACCCCCGATCAAAACTCTTTTCAAACCCTGATTGGGTACATTTATAGCATCAAACATATTGAATAAAGATTAAATTAATCTGCATATTAACAAAAGATCGCTATCAAGCATTGATCTCCATATCCACAATACAAGAGCTCCTATAGCTCTGAACACTTGCTACAAATTGCATTTTGCTAATCCTTATATATTTCCAAACTGATTACGGCTGCTGATAAAGTAGTCCAATTTGAAATATCAACTTGCTAGTTCCTTTCCTGATGAATCAATGTTGAAAAATATTTCTAATCTGTTTTTTTTTCGGACATACATGGTCCAAAAAATGTCTTTTCATCTTTAAAAGGTTTGTTTTCTTACTCTCATTTATCTTTTTTAAATTGCTTTTTCATTATCAAGGTTCTGTGTAGAATGTAACGAATGGTACTAGAAAAAAAACAATTCTTTGTGCTTTAATTTTTTAATTGTAAAAGAGTGATTTTGTGTAAAAAGCCGTAATTTCATCAAGCAATGCATATCTAATGCTTTTATATAATAAAATAAACATTAAATTATTGATGAATCATTATACCTGCTTCCAAGCCCATTCTTCCAAGCAGTAACTGCGGATCAACGTAAACTAAAATGAAATCAGAGTCAACGTTAAGAAAACAAATTAAAATGACTTTTTATTCATTGCTTTTGCTTCCTTTTAAATGTATTTTCTCATATTTTTGCAAGGAGCTATACTTCAGGTTTGACCGTTAAAAACAACTAAGAGGTATTAGTATAAATCAAAAAGAAAGAGACGACAATCAATCCCCTGTTTTATTGATAGTAATGATTATAAAGAAACATGAACGAAGTTTTTCAAAATTGTTTTAGAAATTTATTATGGCCGATGATTGCAGAAAACTTTTAACTATTTACATATTTTATAATCATACTGCTTAAAGGAGAAATTAAAGAAGATATATGCTGAAACCTAAGCATTTTAGGAGTTGATCTAGACCAATAAGATTTCTATCTCACGTCTCATTTATACGAAAATTATATATATAATATTTTGTATAAAAATTCGCAGGTTTAGGCAAAGTAAATAAATACTAACGTGGAACAGACTAAGGTAACGGCGACGGTTGGGCCATATGGTTTTATGTGGTTTGGAAATAATTGCATGATTCGATTTCTTTTGAAAAGTAGGCTAGAAAAAATAGACTAAAGACCCTTGTAAATGTCGTCTACAGTTAGTACTTTAAAATTTTCATAATTAAACATGTTGAAGAAACACATTGAGGACACGCATTGAGGAAACACATTAAGGACATACATTGAGGACAAACATTGAGGAAACACATTGAGGACACACATTGAGGACACACATTGAGGAAACACAATGAGGACACAAATTGGGGAAATACATTGAGGACACACATTAAGGACATACATTGAGGACAAACATTGAGGAAACAAATTGAGGACACACATTGAGGACACACATTGAGGAAACACAATGAGGACACACATTGGGGAAATACATTCAGAAAACACAATCAGAACACGCTTTACGCTTGCTAAAATTATTTTCATGTACAGAATTTTTTCTTTTTCAAAATAGACCAAAACTTTAACAAGATTACATTTTATTTGATCTGCAAGTTGTTAGATGGCTTCATACAATTTTTTCGCACTTTATTTTTTATATTTATATGATTCTATACTTGTTTTACTGTAATGAGGTCATAAAAGAATTTTATTACACAGATAAATTTTGTTTACCCTATTTGTTAACAGCAAGTCATTTTTTCATAAAAAGCACGTTAAAAGTTTTTCACAAAAAAGTGATTTAAAAGTTTAAAACATTCATTTAAAGTTATAAAAATAGAAAATTGTAATTTCAAAAGAAATTTATGTTTCACAAATTGTTTTTAAATGTAATGTAAATCAAAATAGGCGCTCGTTGATCATCAAGAGAATCAAAAACAAAAAGTGTTAGAGTAACATCTATGAGAAAAATGGAAAAATTATCATTGGTTTTTGCCTCAGAGCTTCCAACCTTATTCATTATTTGCTTTAAATACTTTTTCATAAATTGGGCGATTTATTTGTTATATCTTAATGATTATCTGTATATAATTGCTAATTTTGGGGTAAAATCTACGGAAAGTGTTGAAAATTGAGCCGAATTTACTAATAACCGGTTTTCAAAATCCGATGAGCAGTTATAGAATTTGTTGATATCCATAGTTGGATTTTCTGTCGTTTTACAGATTGTAAGAAAGTCTCTTTTTAGTTTTATCACATACCAAATTTTACAATTACGATACTAAATTCTACAAAAATGAAAACTCATTGTTAAAGTGAAAAAACTTTAGCAGTCTTTATTTATTCTCTAATTTGATCCTTCTCAGTGATCAGTTGGCATAAGCCCCTAGATAGAAAAAAAATCCCAATTTTTTGCGACAATACCGCTAGGACTTTTTGGTTTAGATTTGATTTTACGTACAACACGAGAGGAAATTTATTTTGTTATTTGTTCTTTTGTTTTTCTTAATAAATTTAATTTATTTCGACGTTGAACGATATAGACAATTAAACGAGACAAAAATGTATTTAGTATATAAACTATTATGGTGGAGCTAGGATATAAATTTTAGTAAAATAAACTTTCTATGGATAAAAAAGTTTAAAAGTTTGTAAGCTATAAGTTTGATAAATTAGTTTAATCAACGTAATTGATAGATACATCATGCTCCCTTATCTTCTTTTTAAAAAAAAATGAAAATAGTGTTGGTATTGCAATTTTAAAATACAAGTTTGGGGGTTGAACTATATACCTGGGGTGTCTTGAAGGTATGAGTGTTGAACTGTATATACCTGGGGTGTCTTGAAGGTATGGGTGTTGAACTGCATATACCTGGGATGTCTTGAAGGTATTGGTGTTGAAATGCATATACCTGGGATGTCTTGAAGGCATGAGTATTAAACTGCATATACCTGGGGTGTCTTGAGGGTATGATAATGCATATACCTGGGGTGTCTTGAAGGTATAAGTATTAAACTGTGTATACCTGGGGTGTCTTGAAGGTATGAGTATTAAACTGCATATACCTGGGGTGTCTTGAAGGCATGATTATTAAACTGCATATACCTGGGGTGTCTTGAGGGTATGATAATGCATATACCTGGGGTGTCTTGAAGGTAGGATACTGCATATACCTGGGGTGTCTTGAAGGTATGGGCGTTGAGTTGCAAATACCTGGGGTGTCTTGAATGTATGAGTATTGAACTGCATATACCTGGGGTGTTTTGAAGGTATGAGTGTTGAACTTTATATACCCGGGGTGTCTTGAAGGTATGAGTGTTGAACCATATATACCTTGAAGGTATGAGCATTAAACTGCATATACCTGAGGTGTCTTTAAGGTATGGGTGTTGAGCAGCATATACCTGAGGTGTCTTGAAGGCATAAGTGTTGAACTGCATAAACCTGGGTTGTTTTGAAGGTATGAGTATCAAAATGCATATACCTGGGGTGTCTTGAAGGTATGAGTATTAAACTGCATATACCTGGGTTGTTTTGATGGTATGAGTATCAAACTGCATATACCTGGTGTGTCTTGAAGGTATAAAAATTAAACTGCATAAACCTGGGGTGTCTTGAAGGTATGAGTGTTAAACTGCATATACCTTGGGTGTCTTGAATGTATGAGTATTGAACTGCATATACCTGGGGTGTCTTGAATGTATGAGTGTTGAACTGTATATACCTGGGGTGTCTTGAAGGTATGGGTGTTGAACGGCATATACCTGGGATGTCTTGAAGGTATGGGTGTTGAACTGCATATACCTGGGGTGTCTTGAAGGCATGAGTATTAAACTGCATATACATGGGGTGTCTTGAAGGTATGAGTATTGAACTGCATATACCTGGGGTGTCTTGAAGGTATGAGTATTGAACTGCATATACCTGGGGTGTCTTGAAGGTATGAGTATTGAACTGCATGCTTTAAACATGACAATGTCCGATATAAAATTTTACCATTACAGGATTTGTGTAATAAAAAATGAATTAGAACTCCATGTTTTGGTTTTAAAAAAACATTTATTTTAATTTGTGCTTTACCTGCTAAATTTACTCGTGAATTTCTTGCTTTTAAGAAAAATGGAGAAATTATCATAACTAAACACTTTTCGAGTCAGAAAAACGACGTGATCTTCCACATTTTAGAAAGAAACTATATACCTGGGGTGTCTTGAAGGTATGAGTATTGAACTGCATGCTGAAGAGTTGAGGTGAGGAGAAGAGGAACGCAAGACTCCAGGATACACCAAGATATACTAGGGTTCTACCCATTGGGTTTCCACTGAAAGAAAAGTTATGATTTTTTTAAAGTTTTATTTCAAAATATTTTTGGTTTTACAATGTTCGAACTAAGAATATTGATTTTTTTTCTAGGTTAATTCGTCCACGCAAATAAAACATCCTTTGGTCGAAATGTATAATAATAATGGGTATTCAATGAAATAAATATTTTTTTACCTTACATAAAAGTCTTGAATATTGAAAAAAATTTAAGTTCAGAGGCTTCGTTTGATACACATATTAACATGTTTTCATAAGAAAAAAAAAAAAAAAACGATCTGCCCCTAATGCTATCTGATATTTGATATCTGATATCCAAGTCAAGCTGGAGCTAAATTGTTGCCACAAACACTGATTTTTGTAATCACCATATCTTTGCAGACCAATGTGATAGTCCTTTGTCTTGGTTAAAATAGTCTAATTTGAAATATAAAAGGTTTATACCAACAATTGAAAAGATATCGGATCTTGTAAATTTGAGTGTGTGGAAAAGACTTAGTTCTTTTGTTGAATAATCAACAAGTTTTTATACTTTTTAGGTGTTCTTTTTAGAAAATTATTCTTAAAGAAAATTCGTCATGAGCGAAAACAAAAGCTTTTAATTTGTATTGTTTAGAAGATAATTAACCTAATCCCTGCTTCACCAATCTTACGATGAAATAAGGCTACAACATAAAATCAAAACGATTGGTTTAATTATTTTTGTCAATGTCTTTTGTCAGAGTAAAAAATCTTCACAAAAGAAGTAAAGTAAACTGATATATAATTATAAATACAACTTCTAAATTCAAAAGAATCGCAGATTCCTATAAAAGTTTTAGAATAAAACTTGAATTTACAACAATGGCCAACTCTATTCTTTACCTGTTCCCTGAAAGTGAGTGAATAATGATATTGTATCTATCCAGGGCAATGCTCGTGATGGTAAATGTTGACAAAAAACTGCAAAACATCGGAAGAAATCCTACAAACAAATAGTTTTAACAAGATTTTCAGCGTATTTTCAGTAACCATTCTTAAGATACCCTGTAATGGAACTGTAAGCGTAATTTCAAGTGACTAAAATTGACAAGGCCCGATTTACAAAGGTGCCCTTGAAAGCTTTGTCTGTTTAAGTATAAATGGAGATCCAAGTTTTAGTTTCTTTAAACTTTTTTTTTTCATTTGCGGTTTCTCTGCGAAAGTGACTTTCTTGCTGATAAGAATCATTGGAGAAATGATCATTGATCATAAACACTTTTCGAGTTAAAAAATGATATATGTAAGTAAAGTTTTGAATTCTGTACAAACCATTTTTTGTGATTTCTAAAAAAACGCAGGAAATGTTTTGTTAAATTGTATCAATTTTCAAACAGGATCATTAAAAAATGTCGCAACCTTTTGACTTTTATTCTATCTCACTCACTCAATTTTACTATTTTTTAGCTTTGGACAATGGACATTGGACATGTATATGTTTTAACTTTAAAACACTTGCTTTTACCTTTAGGTAAAATTAGCCCCGATTTTTGTGTGAGATTTTGCAACCTTTGGAGCAGTGAGATATCTCAATTTGTTTAATCCATGAAGTCTTGTTTTGGATAAATATGAGAATCATAATCTTAATGTTATAGAACGAAAGAGACATTTGTTGATGTTCCCAATTATAAGAAAATAAGAAAATAACTTAACTTGGCGTTATTATCTATATAATATTCTTTGCTCTCATATATTTGTTTGTATGTTAGCTAGTTATAGCTGGCCAAATGCTGGATCAAATAGGCTAAAATCTTTTGAGGGAACCCTTGAGAACCTCAGTGGTAACTAACGCTAAAAAAAATTTCCAAAAAAACTATATTTCTTTTTCCAAATATTCAAAAACATTTTCTTTCAAATTTTTTAATCATTTTTTTTCACGGGAAACGCCGGGAACTTTGTCATAGAAGACAAATTATTTCTTTCAAAGAAGTGACAGTTTTAAGAAAAGTGATTAATTAATTTAAGAAATCATGATATTAATATACTTAAAAGAAAATATTATGTTTTTTTTTATTTTTAAAAATGTAGTAAAAAAACTTTCAATATAGTTTATAAAATTGAGTCGGGGTGTCTCTGTATAGTGGACAGTATTATCTTTTTGATTTATTTTAAACAATGAGTTTTCAAAGATTAAAATTCTGTGAATATTTTGATTAGCATAAATGCACCGTAAATCTGTTGAGAACTTTGGGAGAAAATTTTAATTATTTCTGTTTGACGTCAACTTCAGACCGTGTCTTTTTAATAAATTCAATTATTTTATATTTTGGCGGATTCAGGGAAAATGCGCAGAGAAAAGGGAGTTTTATGCTTTTCGACGTGTCTCGTCCTTTTTTCAGGAAGAAAGGTTCACGTTAAATTGTGTGACTAAAATCCGAAAAATGACTAACTGAAATAACTAAACAAATTTGAACTAGCCTTTTTTCATTATTTTTTCTAACCCCATCGGGCCCAATCATAAAATACTTATTTTAAGATTAAAATGCTTCTTATTTTCCCGATTCTTTAAAACTGTGCTTGAATAATCAATATAAGCAGGGTCCGAATTTAATGAATCTTAATAAATGAGTATTAAATCTCCCAAAAACCGGTTTTAATTGACCGCCGGCTTAAATCTTGAAAATTTTAATACAAATTAAAGTGGAACCAACCATAATTGAGCGGAGGCTTAAATTTAAACCGCGGCTTAAATTCTTTAAAACCGGCCTCAGGGTATTTAATGCAAATTGTAATTTTGCACAGAATATATTTATTTTACTAGAGTTTATTTTTTATGATGATAATATTGGAATGTCATAAATCTAATGCAAAAACGTTTTTCAAACCATAGAAAAAAACATGATTAATCTCAGTTCTTGTTTGGGTCTTCAAGGTTCCTTTAACGGGACTGTAAACGTAATTTCAAATGACCCTATATATAAACATGACAATGTCCGATATAAAATTTTACCATTACAGGATTTGTGTAATAAAAAATGAATTAGAACTCCATGTTTTGTTTTTAAAAAAACATTTATTTTAATTTGTGCTTTCTCTGCTAAATTTACTCGTGCATTTCTTGCTTTTAAGAAAAATGGAGAAATTATCATAACTAAACACTTTTCGAGTCAGAAAAACGACGTGATCTTCCACATTTTAGAAAGAAACTTCACAATTGATTATTTTCAACATTCGTAAAACTAAGATTCAGGATCAGTTATTCAAACTAGTTTTATTTATTTCATTCAAACAATCAAAATGTTGTGAAATCAAGAAATACAAGAATTTATGCATAACACATAACCAAGAAATATGTCGTGGCCTGGGGGTATTCGAATAGAACAAAAAGAAATTATTATTGGACTAATGCATCTGTTGATTGAAAGAGGAAAGTTATTCAGTCCATCTGTGAAATAGAAAGAAGAAAGTTATTCAGTCCGTGGACTAAAAAAAGAAGAAAGTTATTCAGTCCATCTGCGGAATAGAAAGAATAAAGTTGTTCAGTCAATCTGTGGGATAGAAAGGAGAAAGTTATTCAGTCCATCTGTGGAATAGAAAGGAGAAAGTTATTCAGTCCATCTGTGGAATAAAAAGAAGAAAGTTATTCAGTCCATCTGTGGAATAGAATGAAGAAAGTTATTAAGTCCATCCGTGGAATAGAAAGAAGAAAGTTATTCAGTCTATCTGTGGAATAGAAAGAAGAAAATTATTCAGTCCATCTGTGGAATAGAAAGGAGAAAATTATTCAGTCCATCTGTGGAATAGAAAGAAGAAAGTTATTCAGTCCATCTGTGGAATAGGAAGTAGAAAGTTATTTAGTCCATCTGTGGAATAGGAAGTAGAAAGTTATTTAGTCCATCTGTTGAATAGAAAGTAGAAAGTTATTTAGTCCATCTGTGGAATAGGAAGGACTCAAGTTATTCAGTCCATTGAAAATGAAAAGCAATATAAATAAATCATAGTAAAATTACGTGCTAAAAAGAAAGTATTTCACGAACACCTCAGAAAAGAGGCGTGACGCACTCTTAATTTCTAAAGAAATTTCAATCTTGTTTTATACGTCATGAATTTGTTTTATTCCCGAAAAAATTTAAAAATGAAAGTCAATGTTTAAATTGAACTTTAAAGTTTTCATTAGCAGTTAATTTACATTACAGAGGTTTCAACAGAATTTAAAAAAAAACACGTCTTAAAATCAAAAATAAATATTGAAAACATTGCATTAGAATATATATTCAATCAAAAAAAGGGAAAAGTGATATAACTTTAGCTAGCCTTATGGTGCCAGCCGCCGCAGCCGTTTATTAATTAAGATGAAAGAAATGGGGGGGAAGGCGGACTTAGGATCCAGGGATTAGAATTAGTTTGTTGATATAGTATATTCTGTTTTCAATTCAAATAATGTTTGGTTTTCTGCAAAATGCTAAAACAGGTTTCAACAATCACAAATCCTTTAAAAGTTATAATGCATGAGTATTAATTCAATTAAAAGTAAAACTAATTCTTCATCCCTTTATCTTTTAAAGGAACTGTTAACGAGATTTGAATATATTTCAAGCTCACATGGTTTCAATATGCAGAGCTAGAGAAAGAGTTTATTTAAAAAAAATAGGAATCTGAAACTTTTTTATCTCGGCCAGGAAAACATACTTTTTTTTGAAATTAGCAATTTTAGAACCCGCATCTTTGTATCTAAATATATATTTATTTTTTATATCCAATAAACGTCAAAAAAAGCTCAACCAATATGACCTACATTTTGTGGTAACTCACATGACTCTTTAGAAGAGTTTTGACCGGTAAAAATTGAGAAAAAAAATTGGCATAGAAAATTTAGACTTTTGAAATATTTAATTTCAAACAGAAAAATCTGCTTTAAAAACAACAAAAGAATAATTAAAAAGAAAAATTAAAGTGTAGCCACCCCCCCCTTTCCGTTCCCTTGACAATTAAAAGGTAACCAGCTGGTTTAGTAACATGAGTTTTATTACTTTTTAAAAATGATGTTGCGTAAATGACCGCTCAACCAGCATTATAAAAGGAAATATTGAACCAGAATGACTCAGATGATAACGAAGTCTGAGGTAGAGGGGATCAACTTCATTCTACTCCTTCTACTCCAGGAAGGAGGAAGGATGGGTCAGGAGGATAACTTCAACCATCACCACTGGGACCTAACCCCTGAGAGAGAGCCTAAAGTCTGCCATCTATGTAGTTGTAAGAGGTGTCTGTCCAGAGCCATAAGAAGCGAGACCAGAGGCCAAGAGAGTCTGAATCTGCAAAAGAGTTGGTGTGGGGCAAGGTCCATTGCTTATTGTCAAGACAAGAGGCCAGAGTCAAGCAGCGAGTCCGCCAATACCTTTTTAAGTAGAATTGTCCTCTTTTATTTCATGTTATTGTTGATAATATAATCTTAATACAACATTGCCTCTAAATTAGTGTTGTAAAAATACACTGATTTTAGCCGACTGATCGATTAAGGTGAATATACAAACATAGTTCCTTCGAAGGCAAACATTTATAATATATGTTATAATAGGACGCTGCTTTTAATAAAGGTAGTGCTTTTATTGTTATATTAGCTTTAAACTTTGGAAACACAGATTTGCCTGGAATCTAAATTTTCCCTAAAAGTCAACCGCGATTTTTTTTCTGTTTTTACATTTTATTCAAATGTTTTCACATGAAATAGAAGAAACAGCTTAGTAAATTTATAAATATGTACAAACATTGGATGAAATGTTTTAAATATTTGGATTTTTCAACTTGGATTCACCCTATATCACGGGGGGGGGGGTAGCAAAAGGTTTGAAAAAGTTTACATAAGTCATTTGTTTACATTTGAAACGGATATGGTTAATAAACTCTTCTCAGCAGTTATCCAAAAACATATAACTTACTATAATTTCAAAAAAAGTTCGAGCAAATTTTATAGATCATTATTCTCCTTGATTTCAGCTTTCAAACGCTTTTTAAACATTTTTAGCGGTATTAAAAGCAAATTTAATCTAGGAGGTAAAACATACCTGGACCCCCGGGCAGTTACAAAAACAATTCAATTATTTTCCCAAAGATTATCTTTGCTGTTTTAAGTATAAAAACCAGGATACCACATAAGTCTGTGATCAGATAAGTTTAATAGGGTACTGTTGTAAATCAAACATGCTACTCTATAATGTATATAGGGTACTGTTGTAAATCAAACATGCTACTCTATAATGTATATAGGGTACTGTTGTTAATCAAACATGCTACTCTATAATGTATATAGGGTACTGTTGCAAATCAAACATGCTACTCTATAATGTATATAGGGTACTGTTGTAAATCAAACATGCTACTCTATAATGTATATAGGGTACTGCTGTTAATCAAACATGCTACTCTATAATGTATATAGGGTATCTGGAAATCACATCCACAGACCCTTTCACGGAGACAACAAATGTAAACCCACACTACAAACTGGAAAAGTATTTAAAAAGATGATAAAATTTAAAAATTTGAAACTATATAAAGCGATAAAACCTATACTTTATACAGAGATTGTGTTCAAACTTTCCAGGAATACTTTCCTTTAGAAGAATTTCTATTTGATTAAATTTTTCTCTTTACGAATTCTCCTCCCAGGTTTTTTGTGGCAGGTTAGGTTAAAAGAAAATGTGGCAGATTTTAAAAAAGTGGCAGAAATGTTACCCCCCCCCCTCACAGATAGTGAATAACGCCAATCGATTCGGTGAAAAAAGACACATTTTCTAATTCCAATAATATTATTTTTTCCAGTTAAAATTTGTTTAAATGTGATGCTTAAGTTTGGGATCACAGGCTGCAACGTCTATTTTATAAAGGGGAGGGGGGAGGGGTGTAGAAATTGAAAGATTGCAGTGGTTTGTGTAGCAAAGGTGCACCGCATACGAAACATTTTTTTACCTGAAAACCTCAGAAGATGTTCAGATTTATGAATCAAGGCTTAAAAACTGATATAAACTTTTTCACACAATATATTTTATTTTAGATAGATATTTTGACTGTTTTGAAAGATGTTAGGTACTTTCCCAAGTGGCAACTTCCCAAGGGTATTTTCCTAAGTGGCAACTTCCCAAACGGGCAATTTCCCAAGCGGCAATTTCCCAAATGTATTTTTGTGGAATCTTTTATACTTTTAAAGAGGTGGCATGGTTTTTCAACTTTGATAACATTTGTGGCAGGAGTTATGTATCAGGGTATAACTTGTGGCATTTGTTATGACACATAATTTACGTAAGAGATTTTAGGCTCATTTATAATTTGTGTGGCAGATTTTATGCATTTAGATTATGTTTGTGGCAGATTTTCTTCGCTTCAATTGCATTTGTGGCAGATTTTTTGTGTCAAGGTATATCTTGTGGCATTTGTTATGAATTAACATAATTTTGTTGCAGATTTCAACCACATTTATAATTTGTGTCGCAGATTTTATGAATTGAGATTTTATTTGTGGCAGATTTTCTTAGCTTTAATTGCGTATGTGGCAGATTTGATGTGCCAAGACATTATCTGTCGGGCTGTTGCAGACTGTATGGCAGATATTTTCATGAAATAAGAAGAATGTTACCAATTGAATATCTCGATTGGTATTTGTGGCTAAAATTTCATTTTAATTCTTCAGTTACTTGGGAAACTTTTTCCTTAAATTGGCAGATTTGTTTTCTAAATTGGAAAATTATTCTCCCTGAAATTATCATGTTTTTTCTCAAAATTTGCAGTTCTTTTCCAAATCTGAAAGTGGCAGGTGAGTTGGGTCAGATGAGTTGGCTCTGGGATGAACCCTCTCTATCTTAAAACATTGGCACAACTTTTTATCCGTTATGATTTTTTCTTTAAATTGGAATTTTTCTTTTTGAGATAATTTATAAACATGATTTAAATTATCGGCAAAGCATGATTTTTGAACAGTACTTTGATCAATTTATTTAATATGTTATAAAAAAAATTTAATGTTACTTATTTCTAGTATTAACGTAAAATGCAAATTTAGCTGCTGTTTACTTTTGTTAGATTTACACATAGCTTTGCAGTTCCCTTTGGTATGGTTCAGGGTTTTTTCTGGATTTTCAAAGGAATCCCAAGGTAAAGCAAGCCCTGGCCTGACAATCGATTAGAATTCTGAAGAAATAACGCTAAAAACGAATGCATGTTCTAAAATGTAAATGTTAAGGGCTACAAAAAAGTTAGTGAGGTAAAATCAAAAGCCAAGGCTTTTGCAACACTTCAAAGTCGACCCAGTCTTGAAAATTGATGCAACACTTGAAAGCTGTGCAGTCTAAGGCAACAAAAACCAATGAATGAGTTAATGATAGGAATTGAGTCTGAAAACTCTGATTTTCATATCCATGTATCATTGTAACTTTATATTTCCAAATAGATTGACAACCTATTTGGATATTTCAAACTATGAATTTTGTTAGGTTAAAAAGATATAAAAATTGAATATTTGAGTGCGTGGCAAAGACTCATTTTTTTACCAAGTCATGTAATTTAATAGCAAAAAGGGATTTCATATATGTATGAGTTTCTACTTAGAAATGGTTAATCTAAAGGCACATGGGGGTTAACTAACATTGTTTATCTTATCATATCTTTTAAAACGTGTTACGGTTTGGCGGCGGGGTACTTGGACTGGGTATTAATAATTTGAGCCGGGTCAGAGACGATTCAACCACGGTTCAGTGACTGCAAGGTAATTCAGCAACTTTGCTTACATTTGATAATTCAGCTTTAGGTAAAATAAGTACACTAAGATATATCACAGTGCCCGAAACTTAAGACAGAGTATCGTCATGAATCCCAGTATCGGAAACCCGTTTTCATGAATGGGGTCAGGTAGCTTTAGATACCAATATTTTGGTTAAGAATTATTATTTCATTACACTGCAAACAATAAAACTTCCACGCCTCTACGATTGGGACCAAAATTATCCTTCCATAAAATAAAACAAAAAAATATTTTTCTTATTAGAACTATTTTTTCCATTTTATTTTAAGTTAAACTTTACCTGACATTGTGCAGAGAAACACACTCAGTCCTCCTGAAATATTAAAAAACAAAAATTTTTAATAAAAAAAAACTTTTTCAATTCCCAAAATGTAGTTGTTTACAGTGATTTAACGAAAAACATCTTAAAAGAGAATCTAAGCCTAAACTTATTTACAGCGATTTTCAAACAAACTTTTTTACATGGCTCCAATTTTTTTTTACAGTGGTTCTTAATATAAACATTTTACATTGCGTCCAAAACAAATTTATTTGCAGTGGCTTGAGAAAAAAATTATTTACAGTCAATCCAAAATAAACTTATTTACATGTGACTCCAAAATAAACTTATTTACAGTCACTCCAAAATAAAGGTAGTTATCGTGGATTTAGAAATCAACTTATTAGTATGAAATAAATTACAGAGTGATTTCAAAATAAACTTGTATACAGTGGTTCCTAAAATAAGCTGCTTTACATTGGCTTCCAAAATAAACTTATTTACAAAGGCTCCCGACATAAATTTATTTAAAGTGCCCTCCCCCCCCCAAAAAAAACGTTTTTATATTGGGTCGTAGAAAAATGACTCTATATAATGACTTTCTATTTAACATTCTAATCAAACAAAGTTAACAAAAAACATGAATTATAAGCAATTTGTATTATGTGTTTTGATTAGAACTTTTGTGGGGATATTATTAATCTTTAAACGCTTGATCTCGATATCCATTGTGGACACTTTCAATTTTGAGGATTTGTTCTATCTGTTGAATAGTGAGCGTACATATAACATAAATACAATTCATTTTAATAATACTCTACATTTTTTCATCCTTCCTTAATACCCTCTTTTACTATTTTAATTAAACCCCATTTTCAAACTTTTCCGACATAAAAGTCCACAAATACAATTAAGTGTTAATTACTCACTGAAAAAAGTTAACAACACGCGGTAACACCATACAATAAACTAAAACTGAAACTAAAACTAAAAAGCTTTGAAATCACAGTCGTTAAACATTAAATAACGGTCGTTAAACATTAAAAAAACAAATGTTAAAAAACATTAAAAAAACGGTCGTTTAACATAAAATAATGGTCGTTAAACATAAAATAACGGTTGTTCAACTTTTAAAAAACCAGTATTTAACTTTAAAGTAATGGTTAATGTTCTTAAACTATAAGTCGCATAGTCTTTCTCTCATTTTGGAAATAATCAGAAATAAATCTACCATTATTCACAGCGTCCCTGCAGATGACCCCCCTCTCCCCCTAACACCCACACAAGCTATCTATTTTCAATTATACATTACTAAAGAAGAGGTTTGTAATGGTATATAAATACTTCAGTATGGTTAGAAATACAACAGCATAGAATAAAACAATATAATAGAATATACATAAACTTGCTAACATGTTTTATTATATATAGAAAGAAAAACTTTCTGGATAATACTCCTTTAGAATAAGGTTTCCAACTTTCCATTCGCAATATTGCAAAAATAACGCAAAATTTTATCTGTATTTAAACAAATCCAAAATTTATCTTGTTGCATGCCACAACAACAGCTCTTATTGGTTGGATAACATATTATTTTTTAGTATGTCTATTGTATTGGATATTAAAAGAATAACACAAAGGAACTGAGTTTTTGTCATAAACTCTACTTTTCTAATCTCTCTATCTTTGCTACCCAATGTCGTATACCTTTGATATTTCAAACTATGAATTCCGTTAGACCTAACAATCTAAGTTTGAAATAACAAAGGTTTATATTTTCAGATTGTAAAGATATAGGGATTAGACATTTTGAGTTTGTGACAAAACCTCAGTTCCTTTGGCGCATCATTCCGCCAAAACTAACTCTGCATGTGTGGCAATATAGTTGTGCCTTTTCTCAAAGTCTAGTTTTTTTGATAATTAACATCTAAACATAATTTTATTATTACTCAAATGGATTTTTATCAAAATAAGTTGGCCAAACGTTTTAGAATTTTCAAAAAAATGCTTGAAAAATTAATAGTATCAAAGTTATTTTTGATCTTAAATTATTTGTTATTTGGAGGAGAGTTTTACTATTTTCATTTAAAAACAAAGTTTCCCTGTTGAGAAATACGTAAAAAAAAACGAAATGAAAATTATAATTTTACAAATCTTACGAAATCTTTCAGTTCAATCAATTTAGCATGTCAAAAATGTTAAGTTAGAACTAAATGTTAATAATTGCACAGAGCTTGCAAGTATTATGTGTGTGCAACACCATTTTATATTTGGCAACAAATGGAGGGAAGTAGTGCAAATATTTCTACAACACAAGAAAGTGCAAACATCTGATGAGCAAAACAACAAGTTTCAAATAAAAACAAATTCTCATTTCAAATTAGAAACAGGAGAACATTGGCACTCAAATTTTTCAAAGATTTTCGTTGAACTTAAAATGCAAAATTATGCCAGTCAATTAATTGCTTTATATACACCTACATATACTAACTTAAAGACGATCTATAGCCCGAAGAACGTCGTCAATCAATTTTGAGACACACTGTATTTATAATAATTTATAAACAATGATCAAATTATAATAAACCCACCTGGTGGCAGAATCCAGTGCTTAGTCACTGCCAAACTGAGTTTTTGTTGTAAATTTCAGATTAATTTTTATTTGCTTGATAACAATTATGTTTGGACAAGAAGTAAAGTCGTTGACATTGATGAAAACCTGAATACTCAAGGAACTTGATGTTAATCACTAAAAGACTAAAATTAATTTCAAATCTATTTGACTTGAAGTTTTCAGAACATTTTTGTGATCTAACACTATTTGTTTGACGTGGTGAAATTAGTAAAAAATTAGTTTTAAGGACCATTTATAAAACTTATTCAGAAATTATTATTTTATTTTCACTGCCATCTGAGAATTTCAGGGACAACCAAATCTCTACTAAATTCTTACTAGTCCGAACCTATCCTTGTACTATATAGGAATTAATTCCGCCCCATGATTGGCTATATCTAAATATTTTATAAAAGAATGATATTTAAAAGGTAATTTTCGCCTCATCCAATTGCACGACCGTATAGAAACAGACTCGGGTAAATCGTTTTGGAGGATTTCTTTTTCCAGATTTAAAATCAATGTCTTTCTTTGCAATATAAAAGTAATGAAGATAAAATTTTGAAGTATTTAAAAACAATGTTGAGAACCAGCCTCTTTTAGAAAATAAACAATGCCTTTCATTGGTCGGGATTATTTATCTGAAAAACCCTAGAAAAGATAATATTTTTTTTACAATATTCCTTAAAGTTTCTGGACAGGAGATGCAGACGTTGATGAGGTCCGAGGTTGCCAGGTTCACCAGGAACCAGTTGCTGCTGGTTCTCAGCTTCTTACACCTGCAGGTGGACATGATCATTAGCTTTAGCAAAATATAATTCAAGTCGAGTATTATAGTTGTTTTAAATCTTCATGACAGAACAATCTCAAGAACTAACAATGGTCAACACTTAACCCAGACCGAAATATATTTTCAATAAAATGTAGAACTAACATCTACTTTATTTACACTATGAAGGTTTTGTCCGTCATCGAATTTCAAATATATTGTTAGCTTTATAAAATCTGAATTCATGTAAACCAGATCGTTAGCTTTATAAAATCTGAATTCATGTAAACCAGATTGTTAGCTTTATAAAATCTGAATTCATGTAAACCAGATTGTTAGCTTTATCAAAATCTGAATTCATGTAAACCAGATTGTTAGCTTTATCAAAATCTGAATTCATGTAAACCAGATTGTTAGCTTTATCAAAATCTGAATTCATGTAAACCAGATTGTTAGCTTTATCAAAATCTGAATTCATGTAAACCAGATTGTTAGCTTTATCAAAATCTAAATTTATGAGATCGCTAGCTTTAAAAAATCTTAATTCCTACAAACTATTTATTTAACTTTATCAAAAATCTGAATTTATGTAAAGCAGATATCAAAATCAAATAATAATTATTGTTTTAAAATATAGTTTACAATCCATGCTGTGGACTTTTAATAATTCAAACTTTAAATTTTGCTAAACCAAAATTGGAATAATAAATTTGAAATATCAAAGGTTTACACCATCATTAGCAAAGATATGGGGATTAAAGAAAAATCGCTGATTCAGCATGATAAATAACATTTAAAATTTAAGGATTTGAAAATGTATAATCACCAGAGTTGGATCCATAAAACTGTAAAATAAGAAAACGACATTTGAGAAAAATATTGTTTTTTGATCTTCATTTAAAGCGACATAATTTTACAAGAAGCTTGTAAATAATTTCATCAAATAATGGGTCTGTATACACTGCACATTGCACATTACAAACAGTTGTGTTTCATGTTCATGTTGGGATATTTAAAATCATAAAATATTCTATTAGTCGTCTTCCTACTCCACATTTTCATTTTTCCCACCACTATTAAATTGTACCTGGAGACTGCTAGAAGAACTAGACTATTTCCAGCAATAGCTAAAGTTACCATTATACAGTAGGCTGGAGCTAACAAGCTAACAACCCAGCCGAGCTAGAAGAAAAGGAGATTCGTTTAATTTAGAGCTAGAGCATGAAAACTCCATTGACCAATCGAGTACTATGACTATAAAGAAAGGATTTAAGACACTTTAAATTAAAGAACTGCCAAAGTTGATCAGTTTTGCAAGCTAACGGATCCTCCATAAAACAATTAAGAAAATGGAGTTTCATTATTATATATATATATATCCATTAAATTTAATCAGAAAATATTTTCTCAACGTGAAAATGTAAAACTATTTTCAATTAAATGGAAATGGTCTACATGATGAATATTATTGTTACAAAAGAACAAGAAAGATGTAATATGATACATATTTACTTGTTTGTAAAAAGTTGTTTTTTATTATGCAACAATTTATTTTGAATCCCGTTGTTCAAAAAAACTTCTATATTTGGTTCGTGTTAAAAACAACTCTTTTCTAAGGAAAACTAAACAGAAGGATCCAAGGTCAAATTTATACAACTGTACAATTCTTACAATACAATTTCTTTGGTCATATATGTAAAATTCAAAACATTTTTGTTCTTCCCAATAGCTCTCCAAGCAGTGAAGTTACAATTGAAGACATATCAGATTTTAACCTTCGTGCATTTCACTTTAGTTTGACGTGGATATTTAACTTAGTTTAACGTAAAGTTGGTATTTAGATGAAGCATTGACGTTATTTGAAGTTCACTTAACAATTAGAGAACTAATGAATCTTAATCCAATGGAGGGTGGCNCAGTGTTTGTATTAGATGCCTTCTTTTACGCGCGAAAATTGTATGTAGAAATTTAAACAATAATGGTATTGGAGAGCTAGATGTTGAACTTTTTTTGAGACTTTTCAGATTATAAAATGCCTTTTCTTTCGAAATTAGACATGTAAATACCATGCAACTATTATTCAAATTTCAATTTTCAAGTTGTATTTTGAGATTTGAAAATTTGGATATGGGCCATGGATCTGAAAAACCCTTCAATTTGTGCCCATTTCCAACACTCAGTGTTAGAAATGGGCCAAGTGTTAAAAAAAACATTGCAGTTACCATGCTTGCTTGATTGCGCTTAATTTCCGCAGCTAAAGTGTAAAGTTTCTTTTTAAACAAACCATCATTGTTAAATATCAACCAATATCAACCTTTAATGTTTTTGTTAATTCTGGATATTTCCATAAGAACTTATTAACATGTACATTTTGTGTTGAGCCGACTACTTGTCCCAATCCTAATTTATTTAGTCCGGTATACGGTATAAAACTTGGCATTTTAAAACTATTTGTGGAGCAAAATTGATAGTTTGAAATATCAGTTTCTTAATTTGAAGTTTAAGATGTATAGAGGAAGCTAACCTGTGACCGAAAAAGAAAAGGGGAAAATGTTTGGTCACATTTACATTTTTAACTTCAAGTTGACTTTAGTAAAATTAATCATTTTTTCGTTTAATATATGTATCCAGCGATAGAGACACAAACGTCGTGTTTTTTTTTATTGTTTTAGTGTTCCTTCATGGATGGGGAGGGGCGTTTGGGGGAGAGGAGTAAAACTGTTAATTAGTATTTAGATTATTAAGGTGTGTATAATAGAACTCCTTGCTCAAAGTGTCTTTATCTAAACTAATAAAAGCGTATGAAGCTCTATAAATATTTATTTACTACAATACCCTCTGGTCGTAAAAATCCCAATTTAACCTACCACGGAACAAAAATTCACTTTAAAATATTGGGTTGACCAATAAACATAAGATAATTACCTGGCGACATCAAAATGGGATTACTTGCCACAATCTCTTAATTTCTTATTTTTATATCAGTGCAACCTGATGCTGTGTAGACTTTTGATATTTTAATTTAATAATTCTGCTAGTTCAGATATTCAAGGACTGAAATATCAAGAGTTTTCACAACCAGGTTAAAAAATAAATTTATAAATACAGTTTGTTGCCAGAAACTAATTCTTTTTGAAAAGAGTGTGTTCTAAACCCATTAGTGACGAGAAGGTCAATTTTGACCGGGTGAGGGTTTTTTTTTAAAGTGCCTTTTTTCTTAAACTAAATGTTGTCTTATCTTTTCCAGCGCTTTCCTTAANTCGTAATGTTTGCCTATATGACATTCTAGGTTGGGAACCCGGTTTTGTCTGGAAACTAAGATTTCGCAATAAAAACCAACCCACGCAACTTAACTAAGCTAAGGACATTACAATGTACCGAGTTCCCCAATGAAAATGTTAGGTGAAGGGGTTTATGAATTATGATCGGACATACAAACAAACAAACAAACAGAGAACTCCTTTTTATAGCTATGTCGATTTGGAATTAAATTTGAAATTTTTACTGAGCAAGTTTTTTTCGGAAACCACACAACTCCTAGACACAGCTATGGAAATTGTGGGAACTATGCATGATTTTCTAAAAAAATGTCTTTTAGTAAAGATTTCTTTTTCTGGATGTTTTTAGCAAAAATATTTTGAATCTGATTTAAGGATCTTTATTTATTATTTTTTTACAAAATAAAAAAAATGTATTTAGGGTAAGTAAAATTACCTACAACAATGTACACTTTACGTATGTATCGACATCATTTAAGTCATATTTTGATATATAATTCCAAACCCGTCAAAATTAACGTAAACGACTTTTTGTGCTTTAATAGTATTGTCCAAAAAAGTATAACATGAAATATACAAAAATTCTTCATTTAATGGATAAAATGGGTTCGAAGGTTAACGCTGACTGACTTTTAACCAACACCTATGATTTACTGTCAGGAACAATGACAAAAACAAAAACGGTTTGTGATTTTTTGGTTTGTTTAATTGAAGCCAACAGATTTAAAACCCAAAATTCCAAAACAACTTAAGTTAAAACTGTTGTTTAGATTTAGTAAAAGCGGGTTTGAAGACTTTATGTTAAATAATTGTGTCTAGTGTTTAAAAAACCAAACAAAGATATATTTTACTTTTGCATTTATTATTTTCCCGTGAAATTTTAGAAACACTTTAAAAAATCGAATTTTGAAAAAATCGTTGTTTAGCCTATGTTATCCTCGGGGTACTCAAGGGTTCCCTCAAAAAAGTTTCAGTCAATTTGGTTCCGCCTTTTGGCCAGCAATAGCTATCATATGCAAATATAGATGTATGAGCGAATAGCTTTTGTTAAATAGATCTAGATTTATTTCTTGAATTAAATACGATGAGCAATGGCTCTGAAAAGTCCTAACAAAGAACGTCTATGTTTTTAGTTCCTATTTTTAATTTGTGTGACTGGAAATAGGGTATAAGAAGGGTTAGTGAGGGGAGAATGAGTAAGTACTGGACAACATAAAGTAAGGTATGGAAGGTAATGAAACCGTGGGTTGGCGAATAATTAGATAGTGGTAGAACAAAAGAAAACAGTGTTAACGGGTTTAATTTTGGTAGTTTACCAACACAACGTTGAGTATAAGAAAAAACGCTTATTTTTAATTGAAAGAAATAAAAAACCAAAACAAAATGCACAAGAAAAATTATCAAAATTAAAATTTGATTTTACATATTTTAATCTCCACCACCCTTGCTTTTTCAATATTGCTTCTCTTAACAAGATTTAGTAAATGAAAAATATATAATATGATTCCAAATAATTCTCTGATTAAACTTTTACATTCAGAAATCTCGTAAACAAGAATATTGAATCAAGCTAACAAGCTTGTTAAAAAAAAGATGAATAAGACGAAGAAAGCGAGGAACTTTTGATTAAACATCTAACATACCATTTTGTATTGATACGTCAAACAGTTTATGACGTTATCGTTGACATTCATTTTTAAGTTTCAATAAAATTTTTCAATAAATGAAAAGTTTCGATAAATCTATGAAGTGAACTCTTATTCCCAATGATTGATCTCTATATTCATTGTGGGTACTTTTAATTTGAGGATCAATGTTTTATCTTCTCATTAAAAATATTTCAGCAGGGTACGATTACCAGAAAGCAAGCTCTGGATAGTTTATGACTGTCTTGAATTTTGATTGACGCGATGATTATTAAATTTTTTATTTTAATTTGAAATTTTTGATCTTATGAGTTTATCAAGTAGATGAGAGATGGGTCACTAATTAGAGGTTAATTTATAGTCTATATGAAGAGAAAAAAAAAGGTAATTTCTGTCGGATCTAACTTTTGAGTCTAGCGTCTAGTATATAAATCCAACCATAATTACCTCGAAGGGGGTTCAACCTCAGAGTTAGAAGATGAAGAAGATGAGTTTTCAAACGTAAAACTAGAATTGTCCACCATTCTTTTATTCTAAAAAAAACACATATTTGTTTTCTGTTGCTTTCAAAAAAATTTCTCATGTCTATTGTAATTTTTTTATGTTACCATGAAAATAGATATAGAAGTCATAGCTCTGTAGCTTAATAATTTTTTAACACCGACCCGCCGTTTGACTGTCCTCCACCCTACCCTATGCATTAAAAAAAATTTGCAAAGGTTGTTTACAACTATTATGTTGAAAAGTGAAGAAGTTTTAGTGTTCTAAAGTAAGCCGTTATTAAGTTAGTCAGAAAAAACCACAGGGGGTGGAAAACACGCCCGCTCCCATTGTTATATGGTTGAGTCAGAATGTTATTGTTGTTTTTGATCTTACTGAAGTTGTCTTGTATTTTTTCTTCAGACAACTGAATTGTCAAACACATATGAAAAACAATAACCATTTTTCCAAAATAAAAATTTTAAAGATGGTTCTAAAGTTAATTATCATTTTTCATCAATAAGGATGCAAAGAAAAAAGATTTAGTTAGGGCAGTGCATAATAAAAGAGAAGCTCAGAGACACCTACTGGAGAAAAACGGAACTTCAAAATTCTGTAACGTTGGTGATGAAGTCCTGAGAACTTCTTGAAAAAGATTTCTGAGAAATTCTCAGGAATTTCTCGAAAGTAAATTCAGTTCCCCAAAAATCCGTAAAATTAGTGACTAAGTCCTGAGAATTTCACATAAATTTCCGGAGAAATATTCCTGAGAAATTCTCAGGAACTTCTGAGGGAAAAATTCCTGAGAAATTCTTAGGAATTTCTAGAGTCTATGTCTCTTATTCAGTTCCACAAAAATCCGTAAAATTAGTGACCAATTTCTAAGAATTTCTCAAGAATTTCTGGAGAAATATTCCAGAGAAATATTCTGGAGAAATTC